TTTCTGCTAGTGGCACCCCTGGAGGTTTGGGTTACCCTTCACTTATTTTTACTATATGCAAGCAATTTGGTGTTAGATTTGAATCGTGGGAGGAGATGTTACATCCACTAAAGCCTATAGGTAAGGCTAAAGTGGGTATTTATGGAAAGCATGTTATGCTTGGTCCTAGAAGCCAACCTTCAAATGTTGCTTCTACATCTACTTCTAGACCTTCCACATCCAGTGTTGCTGCTCCACCTCCTAGTAATTGAGAAGAACCTCAGGATCGATCTTTGGAGCATCAGTCTGATATATTTTTGATGCAGTGTCAACTTCAAGATAATGATGATCACTAGGATCACCTAGAACAATATATGAGAAGGAAGAGTGATTATGAAGCTAGCTTCAACACTTCCATAGGGAGATTTTTGAAAGGTGACATGGTGTTAAATTTCTTGTTTATCCTCACTACCCTCCTTTTGAGCCTCGTAAGATGATGGATGAGGATGTTGTTGATGATGAAGAGGAGGAGGAGGATGATTAGGAAGTTTTTACATTTCTGTTGTAGTTCATTCATGTAGATTTCCTTTGTTTTCTTTTGATGAATGTTGGACTCATGTATTGTACTTCTTATTTTACTGCACTACTATTTATTTTTCACTCCAGTTTACATAAATTTTTCTAAGAGTTAGAGTAATTTTTAATTACCTATGCAATTTTCATGTAATACAAATTGATTTTGAATTTACTATTATCTGGCACTTGTATTTACTTCTTGTACCTGTATTATTCTTATGTTTAGATCCTTGTGATAGATATTTAGTTTTTTTCTTTTTCATACTTGTTTAATTAAAAAATTCAAGTTTGGGTAAGAGAGAAAAACTTTTTAAAACTAAAACTTTATTTATCCTGAATAAACTATATTTAGAAAATTATTTTAAACATACCCTGTGGTATGTGGAGTTATCTTTAGAGAACTATATTTTTAATTCTATGAATGTTATAGTAAACTTAAGTAATTTTTTTAGTGATAAAAGGTAGTTCTAAAGTTAAGATATTTGGTATAAAAGTATAGGAGTATGCTTTTAACTATTCAAAGTAGGAAAAATTATATTTTTGAAATACTAAGGATCTTAAATATACACTTTTAAAAGAATTAGAGACTATATGAAAAATCATTTTTATACCAATACATATTATCAAGTAACAAAATGTGAGATGTTTTTAACTTTAAGAGGAGGATAGTGAAGTTCAAAATCATTAAAGGCTATCCAGATATAATAATCCTCACATGAACATAAAAGAAAAGAAAAGTTTTTAGTAAAAGAGCATTTAAGGATTGAAAATGATCTTAAAAGAAAAAAAAAACAAAAATAAAAAAGAAAAATAAAAAAGAAAAATAAAAAAGAAAAGAAAGTAAAAAAAAAATGTGGGGAGAAGCTTGAGGAGATGCTTAATTTAAAATTGGCTTCACTTGAATCATCTAAAAGGAAGGAACTTATTCACACTTCTAAGCTTATTCTTAATTTCAAAAGTATTAGCCAAATGCTTACTAAATAGATTTCTCATATAATTCTATCTTTAAATTCTTCTAAGCTTCCTAAGTGTGAAAAATTACAATTATTTTTGAAATGAACTAAAATCAGAATTCCTAACTTAAGTACTAGATCTTCTTATACCCAGTTCAACCTTGAATTATTAAATTTTTTTTTAAAAAAAGTTTTACTATTGCATTTATGGAGTTAAAGTATAGGAATCTTTAATAAGACCCACTAACCTAAGTTAGAATACTTATTTTCACATAAATAAGTTACTGAAGGACAAGTAACATTTAAGTTTGAGGGATTTGATACACCTTAAAATATGCTAATTTTCTATATGTATTTTATGCTCATTTTTAATGATATTGCACTTTAATGGAATGTATTTTACATGTTTTTGGTTTTAGGTACAAGAAATAGAATTTTGGAGAAAAAGGAGAAAAAATAGAGCAAAATGGAGCAAGGAGCAAAAATCTTAAACTGGAGCCTTGACGCCTAAGCACCAGACTGCAGGAAGTTACAACGTCATGGCGCTTAGGCTCCAGTCATTTATGCACATCTTCTAGAAGGGTGGCACCTAGGTGCCAGGGACGGTTTTTGACTTTGTGCATTGAATGTGAATGAATTTTGAAGAGGTGCTTGAAGTGACTCATGTTATTTTGAGGGCTCTATTTAATAGAGTCATTGGTTGGACGAAAAAAGGAGTGGAAAAGTTGGGAAGAGCTAAAAGTTGGGAGGAAAAGTTGGGAAGAGCTTTGGTGTCTAGTATTGGCGTGAGTCTTTGGAGAGACTTTTGTGTGTAGGTGTGTGAGTCTTTGTTCTTGTATTTTAGAGTAAAATTGCTAGGAGAGTTGAAGATTCTTCTAGGAAACTTCAAAGGATTTGCTTGGGGGAAAGTGTTTGAGATAAGTATTTTGTACTTTTGTTTAAGTTTGTTCAACTTAAGTTTTAATTTAAGTCATGTTTTGTTCTGTTATCCCCATGAAGTCTGAGTAGTTTTCTTATCTTTCTCCTTGTGATGAGAATTAATATTGTATAGGATTAAAAGTGTTTAGAACTTCTCTTATTTCATACTTTTGATGATTCATTACTTCATGCTTCATTTACATATTCAATCTGGTCAATTGGTATGTTAAAATTTATTGTGAATCCATAATGATCTGGGAGGGCTATGCATTCCTCAACTAGTAGGAATCACATTTGCATTATTTGGTTAATGAAATTAGTCCATAGTGGAATGCTAACAAATAGAGAGATAAGTTTTGATGGGCATAAAATTAGTGATTTTAGGATGACAAGCTAGAATCTTTATCAATTTGGTCTTTAGTTTGGAACATAAGGCCTGGTTAGCTCTATAGAGAGGGCACTGCGGGTAATATGAAAGTGAGAGACTAGAATCTACTCAACATAGCTATATCAATTAGGAACTTAATGTTAGATTAACCAATATTATTTATGCACTCGAAAGAGAGTAAAGAATAAGTATGCTCCTATTTGGCACAAAACTACATTTTAACAATTAAATAATTGATTCCTGCACTGATTATAAAATCATTGGAAGGAGGAAGATTCTTCACATAATTTGAAACTCTTCTACACTTAACTATCTTAGAAACACTTACCATTTTTATTTTAGTTTTTAAACTGCACTTATTGATAGTAATTACTTCTTTTTCCTAGATAAGTATCTACTGTTTTAAGTAGGAATTTTATAAGTCATTATATAAAGTTATTGCTTCTCTGTGAGATCGAAACTGGGGTTTTTAAAGAAAAATCTATATTAATTGAAACGATATATATACTTGCGTAGTACCCCAAATTTTATAAGTCATTATATAAAGTTACTGCTTCTCTGTGGGATCGAAACTGGAGTTTTTAAAGAAAACTCTATATTAATTGAAACGATATATATACTTGCATAGTACCCCTACTGTGCACATTAAATTCTAAAATTCTATAACATATCATTTTGTGCACTAGTCGCTAAGATATATTGGGTCAAGTTTTTGGTCATCTTTTGAAAACTAGATAATTGTGTAATTGCAGGTCAGGTTAGAGATGCCTACCTATTAGGAAGGGTGAGGAGAAAGATCTTCAAACTGGGGTCTAGTTGGTGGTCAGGAGGGTGATTCAACCACCACTCGCTCATGTGAGATCTCCTTTTTATGAGTGTGGGTAGGGTTACTTTGTCATTTCAGGGATCGAAGGTGAGCGATATTTTCTTTCCATTGATATATGATTGTTTGCAAGTTCAAATACTCAACCAACATCTTCATGTGATGTAGACCCAACATGTGTTAAAAAGAGCATTCTCGTAGCCCCTAGTCGAGAGCTATATGGGCAACTACTAACGAAAAGAGAATTCTAAGTCTCATACTCTAGCATCTCCTTCTGGAAGTATGTTATGAAGGCATGTAGAGACTCTTCATTTCCCTGTCATAATTTTAATAGCACTTTAAAATTTTTATGAGGCTTTTGACCACTAACGTACTACACTACAAAAATTCTTGTAAACTTTTTCAAGGAGGTAATTACTTTTAATGTCAGACTATTAAACCATATAATGTCAAACTTATTTAGAGTTATAAAGAAACTCGACACTTTAGTGTGTCATTTATTATAAGCAAACATACTATCAATTCAAAAGAAGCAAAATATTTAGGAGGGTCAAATATTCCTCAATAGGATTTGAAGGTTGGGATCTTGAAGCGCTCTAGCCCTTCAAGTTAGAGATTTGTTTGGAGAAAGCATTATCTGGTTGAGTGGGCTTCATAGCATTGTGTGTTCTTATCTGTCACAAATCAAGGTTTAGTAAGAGGGCTCTTCTGCCATGGCATCAGGTTCTCTTCCTTGGTGTGGATGGGCCACCTGTTGAAGTGGTGAAGTTATTCATTGAGTGAGCATCTATTTAATCACATCCATCATCTGCTCTTTGAGCTTACTGATCTAATGAGCTACAAATTACATGGTGTATTTTATATTGTCCATGATTTCACTGCGGCTTAATTCTTATCCTTAAGTGGCTTCTCTTCATATTTGTACCATGATCCATGCTCACCGCATCTTTGTAGGGTGTTGAATTCGAATTTATCCTTGAATCACATTAAAAAAATAGAGCATGAACAAAGAGAAAGAAAAAGGAGGCTGGATGGAAGAAGGAGCTAGATGAGGATAAGTGAAAAGAGATTTATGATTAGGAAGTAGACTATCTGATTGAGGATCCCAACAAGTTTCCTGCCTATATTTAACTCCCTCTATTTATAGCGGTTTAGCCCTTATGAAATGACATATTTGGACTTATATTTCCTTTGCTCTCTAGGTGTGAACACTTGGATTCTTACAACCCTACCC